TAAACTGATATTTTTCGTTTCAAAACTATGTAAACTTCCTTAGAAGAAATATTTTTTCATGCAAAGTTTTGGATCTTATAGGTATGATGACAAGGAATAACGAAAAATTAAGGAGAAATGTCAAAAATGAGATCCTAACCTACAAATTTTGGATTATTTCAGAGATTTTTCAATTTTATTTTTTTTTCTGTTGGAAAATAAGTTTTAAAGAGCTAGTATTTTACCTTTATATTTCTTTTACATACAATCTTTATTTTTTCAAATAAGGTATTAAAATTGCGTATAAAAAGTGACTTTTTTGTTAAAATCAAGCATAATCCAAAAAAAAAAGATTATTTTCTTCAGAAAGTTTTCAGAAGTGTGAGTAATGTAGCTTGGGGTAATAAATAACTACTCAATAATATAAAAAAAAAATTAACGATTATACTCATGTGGTATTTGGTAATTCTTTCTTGTTCTTTTTTCAATATTATTGTTACATGCAGCGATAGATAAAACAGGGCACAGCTACATGGCTCATAACTTTAGTTACGAAGCCTTGACACGGAGGCACACTTATTTACGTATTACACCGGGTGCCAAAATAGGTGAGTGTACTAAACTCAAGCAAAGTGCATTACCATCCTTGCATTATCTGGTCCACGCATTTCGAACAAACTTATTCTATTGATTCTCATAATTTACGTGTTCGTGGCTTACTGTTGTGAACTATAGTCTACTGTCTGTATTACACATACTTATAGCAGAATTTTAGGATACGTGCCAAATAGATTTTGAGAACTCTCAAAAGGTTTTGTTTTATCAAACGTAAGAAGAAAGAAGTATTCCCGTAGGACAGTCATGTAATGAGTGTGCTAAGTAGAAGAGTTCTTATCGTGGATATAAGTGATTAGTAAATATCGGCAAGTAAGTATTGTGTATTTTCTTGGTTCTCGTATCATACAGTTGCTGCCGATAGGTTCAAAAATTATTCAAAATATTGTAGGAAACTTAACAATTCACATTTGTTGCATATGGAGTGAGCGTTTTTATCAGTCTATTAAATTCAGAAAAGTACATTTATTCTTTGATTTTTCTAATGCTAAAAGTTATAGAGCTACAATTACAAGTAAAAAAGAACTTTAACCACAACGTTATTCTGGTAAAACATTAATTGTAATGACAATTAGTCTCGTCACAACCTTACTTGTTCACATTTGGGCTTACGGAAACGTATATAACTTAAATAAATACAAGTATACTTCAAATATTTACAGTTTAACGACTCAATTACAATATCCTATTCGATTCAATTTATATTTCTTACACATTGATATTTTGTGAGTAAGAAAAAATATGAGCTAAAGAGAATCGCTGTTAAATGTGTTTATAGATTTTCATTTTAGTGATTACGATTTGTACTTTGTGTGACTTCGCACTGAAAATGTTTGAGCTTACATTGATATTAGCTGCAGTATGTACTATTCGTATGTAAGAAATTTGTACTTTTGTTGATTTAAGTCAAAGCTGCATGTCATCGAAATATCTTGGGACTCTATATATCGATGTTGAGCCTTTATAGAAAAATTGTATTTTTTAAAAACTTAAATGATCTATAAATAATTCTACTTATCAACAGTTTGATGTGTGTTTTAACGGAAAAAATTGCAAATGCTCAATAAAAATGCCTTAAGAAGTAAAATGAATCAGGACAAAATTTGTTGCAATCACTTTCAATTATATAACGAAAGGTAACATCTCGTGCCTATGAAATGAAACTTGAATGTTCATAAATAGTTTGAGAAAATTTAGTATATCATTTACATTTTTTGAGCCACCGACTACTTCACTCAAATGATTTATTGAACAGCTATTTTTACGTGATGAAATGAGTTTATGAACGAAGCTGGTAATTAGAAAAACTAAGCAAGCACAGCTTTATTTCGATGACATTCGTATACTGATGGAAAAATAAATGTAAGAATCAGATAATATTACGATAAAGATTTTTCGTTGAAACTGTGTTCTCTTAATTTGCATTCAATTAATATTGTTATTAACGTAAATAACATGAAAATTGATTAATAGTTAACATATACCGAAGTGAGATAGTCTGTAAATTAGTCGGTACATTAACTTTATATGACATACTAAATGGGCGTTCACAATTGCTGTTTTTTTTTACCTATATAAAATCACTGTCTTTTATTTCGTATACGTCAATAATTGTATAGTACCTTTCAAATTTTTCTTACAAATAGAATGCTAAGCTACCCAACTAACCAAAAAAGTAGACCGAAAAAAGTCTTAAAAGGACGTCCTCATACAGCAAAGAAGGGTACTGGTAAAGGAGGATGACCACGTATTGAAACAGAAAAGGCCAGTTCGAGCACCTTATATAGGCGAGCCTACGAAGTGTTAGATTATGTCGAATATAATGTCAAATTGTTGAAATTAGCAGAGAAGTTATGCCAAATTCATCTTGCTAAAAATAATACTCATAAAGAAATGAGTAGAACAGATTACTATATAGAAGAGATGGAAGTTGAAGATCACACTGTACATCCAAGTAATGAAATTGCTGAATACAGGCATTCTCCTAAATCGGCTCTTGCGTTTTACTGCGAACATGATTTTAGTAAGAAGTCGTATGTAGCTCTAGTCAGGGATTTGCGCATCAGAAAATGTAATATTTACCCTTCTTACTCTATGATATAAAAAAAAGATGAAGAATTGCCTCGTATTACCCTATGATGTACATACAGAAGTTGAAATTCGCGTTTCTTTCCAGGATATTTTAAATAAAACAGCACAACAACTATGTTCTGCAGTAGCAACTTCTTGGAGCAAACAGAACTTACAACACTTACAGCTAACTGTGGCACTTGGGTTTGATAGCTCTGCTGCTCATTGTAATCCACAGCAAGGCTTTACCGAATCAAATGTAATTAATCAAGATCCTCTGCAACCTTTGTTTGTTTCTAGTATGCTCCTTGTTCAACTACAAAGTAGATCTCATAGTAAGCAAATTGACTGTTTATCGTTTCTATCGTTTGCACAATGAAAAATGTTTCATTAAAAAATTTCATGATTTAAAGAAGGCCTTATTTAGAGTAATTTCAGTTGGGAATATAAACATTTTTACACAAATAGTAAATTTTATATAATCGATAATATCTGCGTGAACAGTGCAAAAAATTTTATACGAGAAAAATTTCTTTGGTCTTCAAAACTATACTCGTATCTTAATATCTGCCTTATCACTTTGTCATTTGATCTCTTTGAATATATGTTTTATACTATTCGAAGAGAAGGCAACGTCTAATTATCGGGCGTCCTTAATACATTATGATGCTTGGTCAATAAAAACCGCTGTCCCAGCACAAAATTTAGGAATTATCGTAGAGATTATTTTGATAATATAAATACTAAATTATTTTGTTACAGCTAATTGCACATGGAAAAGTCCGAGCCCACAGAGTTATAGATTCTGTAGAGCAGTACGAATTGCATTAGAGAAGGAAACGCTGAAGACTATACTCACAGAGTATAATCGTTGAAACCGTGAAATATCCACACTTACATCATATGCATTTCAGTTAGATAATGGACAAGAAGCAGAAGTGTCATTTAAAGTTTTTGTTATATTACTAGACGGAAAATGTGTAAACGCAATCGTAGAAAACAAAGCTACATGTAGATGCAATATTTACTTTTGCACTAATTCTCAATTTGATAAAGATGTATCAACCGATTCTCATCCCATTGATGAATCATTTATGGCGGTTGGCCTTGGTCTTCTACATGCTAAAATTAAAGCTTTTGAAAATCTTACTCACATATCATACAGACTTCCTTTGCAAACATGGACGATTAATGCTAATATTAAAGGTAAAATATAAATTGAAAAACTTTTTTTTTTGCTAGTCCGTAGCACATGCAGTGACTGTAGTTAATGTGTATCTTTCGTGTGTAACTGGCTAAAGGATACGAGATATTACTTTCTAATGAAAATTGCAAGAAGTAATTGTAATAATGAGGCAACGTTATTGCACTGGAAATTTCAAAAAAAAAAATTTTACATTTTTCAGACCTTACACAGCAGGATTTATTACTTTTCTGAAGTGACGCAATAAAATTTTTAATTTAAAAAAAAAATCCAAACAACTGGACGAGTTTGTCACTCAGTTGCATTTGATGTGTCCTTAAGGTTGTACCTTCCAAGTTTGATCAATCGTTTAGATATAAATAACTATCATTTACATATAGATATTCATGTAAGAGCACACATACCATCGTCTTGAGTAATTGAGTTAGCATGCACATATGATTGGGTTTTCCACATGAAGTCTAAAATTGATTTGTATTCGATATTTTAATGAATAACTGTGTTAGAAAACTCTAATTTACAATGTTTCTTCAGAAATATAATTGTATATGCAAAGTATTCTTAAATATAAATATTTTTGATCATAAACGAACTTGGTTTTTGTCAAATATAGCTATTACGTCTTGCAAAAAAGTTAATATTTTTAATTGTTAAGAAAAATGAAGTGTCAAATCAGTAACCTAACTATATCAGTTTGCATAGTAATATCCATATTATTTCAGAAAAGGCAGATGAGCAAACTCAAATTGTACGAAATAGAATTTAAGAAAAGTTCAAGGTTCGAGTTGACCAAGTCCTTCAACGGCATGATACCACTAAAAACGGTAACTTTGCTCGAAAATGCTTCGCGGAACCAGAAAAATTTGCTGAAGTTCTTGAACTAGATGAAACGCTGGTAATAAACATTTCTCTTGTAATATTATTATTTAAAAGCAAACACGCACTAGCTCTGAGCAAAATGAGTATACTGTGTGTTGAAACTTATGAAAAGTATAACGAATGTTATCCCTGGGTATAAATGAGCCACACATTACAAAGATTGTAGTGAAAGCTGGCCCAAGTATTATCGCAGAAATTGGACTGCACACGCACGACAAATAAATAGGAAGCTTAGTACTCTGGACGTTTTTAATCGGGCAGTTTACATGATAGACCCTATTATTTCATTAGAGTACATTGAACAAAAACAATGGCAAAAGGCGAATCATGAAAACATTCAAGACTTAAGTGGATTCACGCGACCACAGTAAGTAAAAACACTTATATAGTCTCTACAATGTTCTTTTTAAACTTGTGAATTTCAGTGTAATATTAAATAAAATTAGAGACAGTCTACAAGTAATAGATTTCAAAAATCAATACAGGTATAATATTACATATTACCCTTGTTAAAAAAACTTAATATCCTATTTCTCCATGTAAATGTAGTAATTACATCGAAAACTCTAACTACAGTTGTATTACACGCTGGGAGAAAAAGAAAATTACACAATGAATTTGTCATTCTATGTGCAGTATCTTGAACTTGTTGTATTCACTAAGCAAAACAATTATTTTATTTTGTAATCAAAAGTTAGATTAAATTGTACTTATTATTAAATTCAAACAAAACAATTTTATCTTGTATCAAACCAAGACCACAGTTGCAATTCATTTACCGGCATCTTAAAAATACTTTTAAACATTTGTGTACATCATCACGAAACTTTAATGATACATAACATTTAATTAAAATTATGTCTTGAATTGTAGAATAGTTAATTATATGATACTTTCTTGATCACTTTGATTACAAAAGCGATAAATACTTTTCAATAAAATGTTGTAACTTAGTATATCTTATATGGCTATTATTTTGAATACCTAATGTAAAGTAAGAAATAGACTGTTTTGTCTCTTTACTATGGTATTAAAGCAATATTTTAGAATTTAGTATCACTCTGTTTAATGAATTTTAATACCCATAATGGCAATAAAGACTGATTATTATGTGAATGTAATTAAAATAAATAATATAACTAAGCAAGGTTATTGGAGAATGAAATTATGTTAGAAATAAACGAAAATAGTCATGAAAAGTATTTTCATGTAAAAGTATTTGATGATATAAGTGAAATGGAAACGGAATCCGATTGAGGGTGAAACAAGCACGGAATAATTTAATAGCATTTATGACATCATTGCAATTTATCGTTTCTCTATCATTATATGACTATAATTATTAAAGGCATCAGTTTGATTAAGCTACTTTACATTCCTGAGAAATCTAATATTAGGAGAATAAATAAAAGAAACAAGAAAGAATTTTCAAAACACGAAACAAATTTCCAAATACAACATGAGTACATAGGTTAATTTTTTTTTCATATCATTGAGTAGTTATTTATCACTCCCAGCCACAACACTTACACTTCTGAAAACTTTCTAAATAAAAAAACTTTTTTTTTGGGATTATGCTTGATTTTAACAAAAAAGTCACTTTTTAGACGCAATTTTGATACCTTATTTAAAAAAATGAAAAATATATGCAAAATAAATAGCTCTTTAAAACTTATTTTCCAACAGAAAAAAAAATAAAATTGAAAAATCTCTAAAATAATCCAAAATTTGTAGGTTAGGATCTCATATTTTACATTTCTCCTTAATTTTTTGTTATTCCTTGTCATCATACCTATAAGATCCAAAACTTTTCATGAAAAAATATTTCTTCTAAGGAAGTTTACATAGTTTTGAAACGAAAAATATCAGGTTATCCCACTGTGCGGCCGTTCCAGCACCTACTTCACAATTCACAGGCTATTATAACTTGCTGTAGAACACGGTGTTACAGCTAAATACAAACAGTTATCCGGAGTAGACTTAAAAGAAACAAAACAATTATTCGAAAACGCTGACTTAATCATAACTAATGAGGTATCAATGGTGTCAAATTTAATTTTCATGTACATTCATTTGCGTTTCACTGAAAAATTGGATATGCCTGATACGAAAGATGGATGGTTTGGAAAAATTAATGTACTTGTTTGTGGTGATCTTTTTCAACTGCCCCCTGTTCGTGAAGATTTTGTGTTTGTTGAAATGAATAAAAAACAAAGTGATATATGTATGTATCTATATATATTAAATCTATAATGAGATTCAATAAATGTCAGTTATTCGAGTACGATGAATAAACAATTAATATGAGAAGTGTAAACGACAAAGTCTATTCCAAAATTCTTTTACAAATTCGAAAAGGTTTAATTAGTAAATCTTATATTAAAATATTAAACGAAAGGAAAATTAATTTACCAAATCAAGATTGTTTGAAGAACATTTAAGAATTTTGTAAGCATTTACAATTTTTACCCTATAATAAAGTGCGCTTATTACGAACGAAAAAAATGAGCTATGCTATTAATGAAGAAATGGTAAGTATGCTTGATACAAAAGAAGTACATCTTGTTTGTAATGAAATGCATAAATGTGCGAAAAATTTACAAAAAAAATTTAAAAACGTTAAATGATGACGAAGACATTTTTTGTGGTATTAATCGAGTAATTACAATTAAAATTGGTTCAAAGGTCATGATGAGAGGAGATATTGATGTTTCACTTGGATTGGTAAATAAAATGATAGGCTCAGTTATTTTTGTTTTAAAAGATTGGTCTGGAGAGATTAAAAGTAAATGCATTGCATTATAATCTAGAAAAGAATATGACATTAAGCGATAAGAATATAGATTTATTATTATGGTTAACATATATATTTCTTGACAACAGTTTCTAACTTGCAACAGTTACGGTATAACAATTCATAAAATTCAAGAATTGGGCCTACAAAATGCTGTTCATAAACCAGAAAATAACGTATTTACTGATGGTCAAACTCACGTTGCAGATTCAAGAGTTACTGCGTTACAAGGTTTGCATCTTATTCATTTTTAATCCTCAGCTTGCACTGCAAGCGTTTTAGCTATTCTTGAATGTAATAGACTGAGTACAGAATATCTTCCAGATTTAAGTAATTTTGATATTTTACCAGATCATAAAAAATATCAAACTTTAAAAGTGCATTATGTGCTAAGCGACAAGTAATTTAAATCCCATTTTTAATGTTACATCACATAATGTTGGTTTACCAAACAACGATAATTTTTCTTTTCACGCCAATTCCATTGTATTAACTTTATTCCATTCCACGACTATAAAAAAAGTTCTGTTACAGCATCGGAAAACAGATACTATCAAACTATTTTTTTATCAGTATACAAATAAAATTAATATCAATATGCGACTATCAAGAGAGTTTGCTGGAGAACAATATTCAACAAATTAGCAGCAAAATGCCGCTGGATTCTTATTAAGTCTATGAAATAAATTACTTTTATTGAAAAATTTTTTAAAAAACGAACAAAGTGTAACAATCAGATGTCCTGGTAAAGACACCATACTGTAATACCAATACAACTTATATATTATAACTTTTCATCTACAAGAGGACTCTCGAATATGTATACTTTAAGAACTTGTAGACTACAACATTGTAAATTGGCAAGAAATTTAAAGTTATTACGATAATAGATGCCACTTAAAAAAAATTTAAAAACTGAATCTAACAATCAGTCATACTGTAGTTATTTTACAATTAATGTTACAAAACAAAACTAATAAAGATTTTGTAAAAATAAAGAACTTCAAAATGCAAAACCAACATGTAAAGAAGACATAATGGTTTAACGTATTAGGTTGTAAATGGAGTGTTTTACAACGGTACCTAATCACAAGGTCACTACACAAATATGATACGACAAAAAACCAATGGTTACTTATCAATGATAATAATGTTGTAGAAAAAAATGGCCAAGAGGCACCAAACATCTTCATATTTCATTCTTAGAACAAATGGAGGATAAGTTCAATGAAAAAAAAAATTTTTTTAAATGAAAAAAATTTTTGTCAACAAGGCCTGTACGCTCAAGTAGATTTAAAAAAAAAATAATACTTAAAAATCGTGCAATAGCACAAATCTTCATATTCAATTCTTAAAATTATAGATTCACTTGAAAAGTAAGCAAAAAAAACTAAAATCCACATAAAAAATTACTTTTATACTAAGTGAAGAGTTAGGTAAGTTTGACAAATCTTATATCGATCAAAAAAAGTCATCACTTTTACATATTATTAATAAAAATGCTTTTAATTCGTTAAAAAATAGTATTAAGGTTTACAAAACTGATAATGTAATACAGTAAAACGAAAGTTTTTTTTATAGTTAATACTACAATAATTTTTAGTGTCTTAGTTGACATGATTTAAATATTACTAATTTAAAAGTATTTGATGAAATTCAATATTTGGAAAGTGATAAGATTGACAAAAATAGTTAACTCTGTTCCCTTATCAAAAAGTTATTAAAAACAAGAGATTGTTTATAACTGATAAAAATTTATTGAATCCGTTAAAAAATAAATACTTTAAGAAATCTTATAAGATTATACAGTGAAACAAAAGATTTTTTTTTTATGGCTGATACTACAATAATTCTAATTGTTTTAGTTAACATGATTGTAATGTTGCTTATTTAAAAGTGTTTGACAAAATAAAAAAATTGAAAAAGTGATAAGATTGACGAAAAATAATTAATTTTATCGCCTAATTCAAAATTTATTTAAAACATAAGGTTATCAACTATTTAAAGGAATATCTTTGTTAAAATATTTAAGTAAGTAAAAAATTTTTGAAAACAAAATAAACGTTTCAAAAGTTATGAGATCAGTTAAAATTAGTCTAATTTGTTAATACGTCCAAATGTTATAGCTTACTACTAATGATTTATTATTTTAACAGATATCTTTATTATAATATCTGAGTAAATAACAAATTTTATAAAATAATATGAAAGATTTACAAAATAATGTGGTCAATAAGAAATAATAAAGTTTTTAACATTACAAATATTGTAATACTTGAATGAGGTGAATATTTAATTACAAAAAATAAGAGTATTTATTTTGATGTTTTCATCTTACTTCGAAGGTACTTAACAATAAATACTTAATCTTAATGTTTAATTTTTATTATAAAACCAAAACAAATCAACATTTTGCCATATTATTAAATCTGTATAACTTGACGGCACGGATTCTCTACTGTTTTTTCAACATAAAATTTAAATAACGTTTAAGAAAAATATTATATATTAAATCTATAATGAGATTCAATAAATGTCAGTTATTCGAGTACGATGAATAAACAATTAATATG